TATCCACGACGACGCAGAAGTTTCAACAAAGGATAAATTGATTTCCAGCACTGAAAATTGCGTGCAGTAGCTCTGCTACTAAATGTATTTAAAATGGGTATCTCTGTACAGCTGTCGTGTCCGGTGTAGACACCGTGTCTGTGTGTGAGCAAAGTAAACAATCAGTATAAATATAACGATCAGTAGCCTATACTAAACATCGCACATCCTGCGATGTGACTATCGCAGATGCGCACATCGCGATATCGATGCTGAAACGATATATCATGCAGCCCTAGTTGCTAGGGTGTCTCTGGGATTGTTTTCCTCTAGTTATATTGTGTACCAGGTGATCATTAGAACAATAACAGCACACACAATTTGAGGTAGAATCCATGTCCAGCAACACAGTACAAATCAGGACAAGCCAATAGGCTATCTAATACATCCTGCCTTAGCAAATACCATATAATATCATATGTAAATGGATTTTTGCATGTGCTGGTATCATAGCATAAATGAATGGTAACTTAGTAACATGAATCTACCCAAAGAACATGTTATAATTCAGATACCAGCTTTCCTGTAGCTCAACAGCTCAAACCGCATGGCATTATCAGGTCATGGGTTCAATTCCCAGGGAAAGCAACAACTGATTGAAAAAAAAGTGGTAACACTTTAGTATAGGGACCAGTTCTCACTATCAACTAGTTGCTAAGTCACTTTGGATAAAAGCATCTGCCAAATGCATACATAATACAAGTTGATTTCTAGGTACAAGAGTAAAGGAGAGAGAGACATAGGGAAGACAGCTTGTAGAATTGAATGCAATGCTAAACAACTGCGTGGGAAAGAGATTAGCGCCGTGAGGTATCTGAATTATGTGCGTCAGAGGGATTGACTCTGGGATGATCGTACCTGTTTCAAAGACAACAGTGAAATGCTATGAACTCTGCCTAATAAAAAACCTCTGGTAGTATGTACTAAGAGACTAATTAACTCATTTAAACCCAACTTCAAAGATAGTTGATATCTTGGATGAATCACAATAAGGCCATCGCAGAAGTTACGCTTGTTTCCTGTTGTGTTGATCTGCTGCACTAAGTGGCTTAGACAGAAGTTTCTAATCTTGCGTTCTGTGAGCAACAAACAGCCTTCCATTCTCTCTGGAGGTATAAATAACTGACCCGCACTAGCCTGCGGCCATATCACAGATCACTGAAGGCACGTATCCGTCTGGACAAGAGGATCGCAGGAGCAGGGATAGATCTCCCAGCTCCCGGGGCAGATCCGTCTCACTAGTCCACTTTGTCCAACACAGAGACGGCTAACGTCTGGCCTCCAGTTAAAAAGTGAGAATGCAAACCTTTGAGTAAAAGCAATTTAAGATAAAACAATGATAAATAGAATTACACATTTAATTAAATTATACATTCAATTATTTTAAAACAATATCAGTGCAATATT